ATGTTATTGCTTTGCCTGGAATGTTTCGCAGTATGGCATTAAAGCTTTCTATCATGGAGACCGAACTGGACCAAGTTACAGGTCAGATCTGTGGAGAGGCGCACTCAGAATGTCTGTTTTTCTCATATTTTTGAGCAATAAAACCACCTGTAATTGAATAAATGTAAGGTAGATCTGATTAATGTCATACTGTGGAACATTTTAAGTTGAGTATCTGTATTCTACATGTCCAACAAGCAGGTGATGCACCTCTAACCTAAAAGTTACACAGTGCACCTTTAAATTCATTTATTATGCTTATTTCAGAACATGTTTGTTTACAACTTGATGATTGCAGTTGTACTTTTTAGGGAGTATCCATTTTGAATTTTCTATCATAATGTCCAATTCCGACCAAAGCTCATTCGCAGCTTTGTGGTTTCACATCAAGCCTCTGTTGGTGCACTTGGTTTTCACTGGTCATTTAATAAAGATAAACAAACCATGATTCAGTCCAAAGTGGAAAAGAAACAGCGACTTTGAACTGTCGTCTGTCAGCTCCAGTGGTGGAAGGTAACAAAGTACTAAAGGAAAAGTACAATACTCAAGTGCAATTTTTAGGTATCTGTACTTTACTTCAATCAGTTTTACAGTGGATACTTTTTACTTTTACTTCACTACATTTGAGAACGTGTATCTGTACTTTCTACTCCATTACATTTTAGATCTGGACTGAAAAGTAAAAAGTACTTGTGAGACCTGCTGAAAGGGCGGAGACTTTATTTTTAGCACATTTAATTTGAGTTAACGTCACGACTTTGAGCAAAACATATACACAAAAACAACTAGAAAAATGAAGAACTCAATTGAATCACTTAAAATCTGCCAAATTCTTTTTCATCTATTTCATCTAAAAATCGCAGCAAAATATTTTTACTTTTTACTCTTAAGGCTGCATTGTGTTACTTTTCCTGGAGTGTCCATTGAACGCTTTTCTCCATGGAGATGTTATTGCTTTGTCTGGAATGTTTCACAGTATGGCATTAACCCTTCCTATTTTTAAGGAGACCAAACCAAACAAAGTTACAGGTCAGATCTGTGGAGAGGCGACCCCGCTCAGTCAGAATGTCTGTTTTTCTCATATTTTTGAGCTATAAAATCACCTGTAATTGAATAAATGTAAGGTAGATCTGTTTAAAGTCATACTGTGGAACATTCTGAGCAGAGCAATGACATCTCCATAGAAACAAGGTGGTGATGGATCCTTCACCAGAAAAGTTACACAATGCACCTTTAAAGTACATTTTTAATCAGGTACTTTAATACTTTTATTTAAGAACACTTTTTTTCTTGAGATACTTTAACTTTTACTTGAGTAATCTTTGCCCGTGTATCTGTACTTCTACTTAAGTAACAAAAGTGAGTACTTCATCCACCACTGATCAGCTCTAACCCATAAGTGTGTGTGGATCCAGTGATCGTAAACACACGTGCAGAGAAAAGTGACGACTCTGTGAGATGATGTGAAACACTGCACGAGGCTCAAATGAATAAAACACAACTGCTAATATTTTGAATTGTATTTTTTATTTAAGAGCTTAAGAAAAGGCTCACATTCACACAACATTAATGGAAGTATTCCTTAAAGCAAATTCAATACAAACACTAAATATGTATGAAAATATTAAAAATGTCCATCTTTATAATATAACCCAAGCAAATCTATTTACACAAATATAAAGTGGGCAAAAGGAATTAACAGTACAATATATTTACATTTGCAGCATAAATTACAACTTCATGTACAGTAGTGTATTTCACTATTAAATTAAACAGACACGTCTAATAAATGGTTCCATCACTGTTTTAACTGATCCAGCAGTGATCAATTACAAATGTATTTTCTGAAATTACCCAAATGTCAATACAGTTTCAGCCAAAAAATATGACATGATATATTATTTTTACAGACAATGTACGTTCAGTGTCATTTGTGAATCCATTTGAGGAACTGGGGCCTGTCTGTTCATATTTTATCAAAGCTTCTGCTCTTTTCTTTGGCTCACATTTTAAATAGATCAGTCTCCTGTAATGTCTTAAATAACTGAGTAAATATATATACACTGACATTTAAGTAGGACCAAGATATGACAACTCAATACTGATTTCAGTCTTTAAAAACTTTTATCAGACATGATTTAAGAAGTGTTATCTCGTCTTAAAGGCATTTTTTACAGCGGCACTCAAAGTCAATGAGACAATTAGTGGTTTTACTCTTGTCAAACTCCTGTAAAACTGTAAAATATCTTAAATCCAAGTCATACGCTGTTCACCAAACCATTACAAATGTTTTATTTTCTCCTAATCGCTCAAACAGCTCACATGTCACTGTTTAGGATCAAGAGGTTGTTCAGCCTCCTCCTTTTGTCTTGCGACTGGAAAAAGAAAAATAACTTCACTTACAATAATAATCCTAATGAAAAGCAAATATGTATGTACTTGTCTTCCAGGTCATGTGGAGACTCATGTGGAGACTCAGTGTCACTTAAAGGTCTTTGCCTCGTCACAAAGCAGACAAAATGTGAGGTTATATTTTTCTTACCTTGAACAAATTCTTTCTCGACCTCTGGTTTAGTATGCGCCTGCTTGGGCTGAAATAGAAGCAGTTGAAATGTTTTTTTTATGTTTTCAGTTTAATGCAATTTTTCATTTTTTAAAATACATTTAAGCTTACCTTTACGCCATCTGTACACGGCAAACCCAACAGCAGCAAGAAGAAATACTCCAAGAACGACCACTGCAGCTACAATAACGCCTGTGTAATTCTTTGCTGTTGAAATAAAACATTAAATAAATAAAAACTATAACTGAACGTGCACTTAAAGATTAGTGACTCATCCACACTCCCCGTGTTTAAAAAAGCCCAGAAAACCATCTCTTTAAAACTTTCTTATTTCTTTTGTTTGCCTTTACTCGTCTCTTCATGTAAAGCGTCTTTGAGTATGTTGAAAATCGCTATACAAGTGTTATGTTTTATTATTATTATTATTACTCTGTCTACATCTCCAAAGCTCAAAACACTTTGTTCCATCTTGTGATGTCATGAAGTGGTAGTTTTCAAGTTACAGCTCCTGTTCAGTGGAGATGGGTAATTTCACGGCTCAAATTATCCAAATGATTCCAGCCTAGTGAAAGTTTAGGGAGTTTAAAAAACACAGTGGAGACTTCTTGTATTACTACATGACATCACAAGGTGGAACAAAGCATTTTCTGTTTGAGAGAAGAACTAAATATGCAGTGTTTGAGTGTTAAACATGTTTTTGATGATGAAAACAACATGATAACACAGATAGGAAAACAGTGTAAAATGGGCCCTTTGACCTTAGATTTCCAACACATGATTCAACCCTTTAGTCCCACAGAAAGCTGCTCACCGTTGGTCATGATCAGGTCTGGGTGCAGCTTGGTGGGCATGTCTGGAACTCCGGACAACTGGAACATGCACCCGAAGTGTCCCCAGTCCTCAGGTGGGACAGAGGACAGGTGGGACATGTCCAGGTCCACACTCATCTGGAAGGTCCCGTCGTGATTGGGCAGGATCTCCCCGGGGTCCACGCCCTCGTGCAGCTCCACTCCGTCTTTGGTCCAGAACAGCATGGCTCTGTCGGGGTAGAAGCCTGTGGCGTGGCAGGTGACCGGGGACGAGGGAGTCTTCTGCAGGAAGGACACCCGAGGGAGCTCTGGAGCAGGACCACACACAGTTTTGGATCAGAGAAAAGGAAAAACTGTCAAATTAAACACAAAATTGCAGTATTGTCACTTCATATCCTTTCTTTTTTTTTTAAATATAACATTTCTAATACTAGTTTCAACAAAGATCATTCGACCTTCATAATGTTTTTTTTTTTTTCTCTTATCATTATAGACAATTAATGGAAACAAATCTTAGTGAGTCCAGTTGTTTTGATCTTTATCTTGGTGATAAAACATTACAGACAATATACTCAATATTCACTTTTACATCTGTTCAAAACATAAAATAGAATTTCTATTTTACATTGAATATGCTCACAGTCCAACAATAAAACTATAAAACCTTGAATTAGACATTTGTCAACGTGCTCATGATAAAACACATGAATATATGTACTATTTGTTTAAAACTTTAAAATCTGATTAAAGGAGACATCAAATGTTTGTTTTTAATGATTGTAAATGATAAAAGAATGTATTTTCTAGAGCTGTAGGTCTTTAGTTGTTTATTAAATCAGTTGGCTGATGGTGTCTTAGTTGAACAAAGTTTTTATAAGTTGAATTATTATTTTATTAAAGATTTGTACATTTTATTTTAAGGATGTATTCATTTTATATTAAGGATTTTACATTTTATATTAAGAATTTATACATTTTACATTAAGAATTTATTAATTTTATTTAAAGGATTTATACATTTTACTTTAAGGATTTATACATTTTTTTAAGGATTTATACATTTTATTTTAAGGATTTATACATTTTATTTTAAAGGATTTATTCATTTTTTTTAAGGATTTATACATTTTATTTGAAGGATTTATACATTTTACTTTAAGGATTTATTCTTTTTTTTTTTAAGGATTTATACATTTTATTTTAAGGATTTATACATTTTATTTTAAGGATTTTTACATTTTAAGGATTTATACATTTTATTTTAAGGATTTATTCATTTTTTTTAAAGGATTTATACATTTTACTTTAAGGATTTATACATTTTATTTTAAGGATTTATTCATTTATTCATTTTATTTTAAGGATTTATACATTTTATTTTAAGGATTTATTACATTTTTTTAAAGGATTTATTTACTTTTAAGGATTTATACATTTTTTTTAAGGATTTATACATTTTATTTAAAGGATTTATACATTTTATTTTAAGGATTTTATTTTACATTTATTTTAAGGATTTATACATTTTAGGATTTATACATTTTATTTTAAGGATTTTTTACATTTTAAGGATTTATACATTTTATTTAAGGATTTATACATTTTATTTTAAGGTTTTTATACATTTTATTTTAAGGATTTATACATTTTATTTTAAGGATTTATTCATTTTTTTTTAAGGATTTATACATTTTATTTAAGGATTTACATTTTTTAAGGATTTATTCATTTTTTTAAAGGATTTATACATTTTACTTTAAGGATTTATATATTTTATTTTAAGGATTTATACATTTTATTTTAAGGATTTATACAGTTTATTTTAAGGATTTATACATTTTATTTTAAGGATTTTATACATTTTATTTTAAGGATTTATACATTTTATTTTAAGGATTTATACATTTTTATTTTAAAGGATTTATACATTTTTATTTTAAGGTTTTATACATTTTATTTTAAGGATTTATACATTTTTTTATTTAAGGATTTTATACATTTTATTTTAAGGTTTTATACATTTTATTTTAAGGATTTATACATTTTAGACACACGACAGGAGAAAGGAACAGGTTTGGAGTGAGTTAGTTTGAGGTTTGGCTGTGAGTTGTGAGTTGAATCTGAGTTCTTTAATCTGAGTTGAATCTTCCTCTGATTATTTGTAGTTTTCTGTATAAATATGTGTCATGGAGTGAACTCGTGTGATCTTTTGCTCTTATCAGTGCAGTTTGGGTCAAATGTCAGAGCTCATGTCACACAACACGTTATCCTCTTTTAGTCGACTCATCAGTGCAGAGTGACTGTCTTTACTCAACTACAGTCTTTGGAGTTTCAAATATGTGTTTTTATTAACTGTGTGAAAAAGAGTTTGTTGTTTTTTATTTATTGGTCAGATTTCTGCAGCACAGCCTCTCATCTGTTTTAAGTTGTAATTAGTTTAAACATGTTACCTTTCCTCATAATGGTGCTCTGTCCATTCCGCAGGTGTTTCTTCAGATACTCAACACAAATGTGGGTGATGTAGTTTTTCTCTCGAACAGCCTCTCCGATTCTCTCCCACTTGTGTTTGGTGGGGACGGCCTCTGATCTCGGAGCCACAAAAGTCTCAGTCTTCAGGTCAAAGGCGATAAAATCTTCTCCATCAAAACCAAACTGAAACCATCCATTTATGTCACCGGTCTCATCGTCCCATTCACAGCCGAACATCCTCTGGTGAATGTGAGAGCCTGAAACACAAACATGACAGGTTTTTATTTCACATCGTATTTTGACATTTTGTGTTGTTGGACATAAAACTATAATACATGTGTTGTTTAGTCATGTTTTCAAAGTGATTTTAAAATGATGAATCTTATATAAAAGTGCACGAGCTGAACAGATGTGTTTTCTCCTGGACTAAATGGAACTGAAAGAGAAATAATAATAAAACTGGACTGAAAATAAATGACCATATAATACAGCACTAATATAAACAATATAAATGTGTTTTTTTTTCACATACAACATGAAATTGAACAAGATGAGCTGTAAAAAGTGAAATCAGACAAACCTTCAGTCTGGTTGAGGCGCTGTTTCACTATTTCAGTGTTGCCTTTCATCACCTGCTCACCACCCAAACTGATCTGAGTCTCTGTGTCCCAGTACTGTGGATCCTCCTCTGTGATCTTCTTCATCCACTCCTGTTTGGGCACTGCTCTCTTTGTGTTACTGTCATAATGAGTGATCTGAAGGCCATTCACATAACCAACATTCAATGAACTCTGGGAAGTTTGGAACATCATTTGAAGAAGTGGTAAAATACATCAGAGAATGAGTCACTGTGAAAAGAAAAACACTGTCAGTTAAAAATACAGACAAAACAAATAAAAAATAAATAAAACTAATGAAATGTTTGTCCTTATATAGAAAAGTATCCACTGTCAATTCTATTATCATTCCTCAATTTCTATATTTGTTCTTGTCACTGTCATCTCCATCACAAAACGTCTTTAAAACTTATGATCAGAAAAGATTCAAAGAAGAGTTTTGTATCATGATTTTAATTATTGGAGCTTTAAACGGCTCAACTTAGAAGCCTCATGTTTGTCCTTCAAAGCATCAATGGTCCCAAACTTGATTGAAATACAGAGTGATGCACAAGTATTTTGTAGGATAAAACTGTAGACTTTCTTACAACAGATGCCCTCCCACTTTTTATACTCAGACAGTTTGATTGTAAATATATCGAGTGTTACAAAAGAAAGTCTGCTTCATGGTGCTGCTTCCAATTTGATAAACCTGAAAAAAGAGACGACCTTTTACAATAGTTCATATGGTTCAGTTCAAATATTGGAATAGATTCTTTTCTTCTTTTTGGGCATTATTTTTGTAATGTGATGTTTGTGTTTGTGATGTTTGTGTTTGTGGTGTTTGTGTTTGTGATGTTTGTGTTTGTGTGTTTGTGTTTGTGTGTTTGTGTTTGTGATGTTTGTGTTTGTGTTTGTGATGTTTGTGTTTGTGGTGTTTGTGTTTGTGATGTTTGTGTTTGTGATGTTTGTGTTTGTGATGTTTGTGTTTGTGGTGTTTGTGTTTGTGATGTTTGTGTTTGTGATGTTTGTGTTTGTGATGTTTGTGTTGTTGTGTGGTGTTTGTGTTTGTGGTGTTTGTGTTTGTGATGTTTGTGTTTGTGGTGTTTGTGTTTGTGGTGTTTGTGTTTGTGATGTTTGTGTTTGTGGTGTTTGTGTTTGTGTTGTGTGTTTGTGTTTGTGTGTTGTGTTTGTGATGTTTGTGTTTGTGTTTGATGTTTGTGTGTTTGTGTTTGTGTGTTTGTGTTTGTGTTGTGTTTGTGTTTGTGGTGTTTGTGTGTTTGTGTTTTGTGTTTGTGTTTGTGATGTTTGTGTTTGTGGTGTTTGTGTTTGTGATGTTTGTGTTTGTGATGTTTGTGTTTGTGTGTTTGTGGTGTTTGTGTTTGTGATGTTTGTGTTTGTGTGTGTGTTTGTGTTTGTGATGTTTGTGTTCACTCAGAGAATCAAATCATCACAACACTGGGAACAAAATGAAGCAACGAATAAATCAAGACTTTCATCAACTATAGTTTGTAAATCATCAACAAAACATTCAAATTGGAAAAGGAAACAAAATAAACCAACAAATAAAATACAGTTCAGTAAAGATGATTCCTTCTAATAGTTTCAGAAAGTGGGAGGACACAGTGGATTGACCTTTACATGGGACGGGATTTTGAAATTCATTTACCAAACAAATGCTGATGTGTAAAATAGATTTTTTTTTTTTTTTTTTTTTTTAATCAAAATGCTAAATAATCTTCTTCCTACAGTAAAAAAGTTCAAAAAGTGGAGTATGACAGAGAGAGATGAAGGGCGTTGTTGCTGTTTAGAAGTGGAGTTCACTGAACACTTGTTTTGGTGCTGAAATATTGTCTCGTTATTTTGGAGAGAAAATGTGTTTAGAGTTGACTTCGTCTTTTAACTTGGATTTAGTCTCTACTTTACTGAGAGACTTTCAAAATAAAACTGACCTGCTTCTTTGAATTATTACATCGGGAAAATGTTTTATTTTCAAAGCTAAAAATTGATTCTCACTTAATATTAATAATTTTAAAAATATATATTTACCAATTTTTAACTTGAGAAAAGTAAACAACTGAAACAGACAACAAGGAAATAAAGTATAAAAAGAGACAGGAAGTTCTTAAATACTTGGGACAAAATGACTTTTGTGCATTTATGTGCTCATCTGTTTGATGTAAATGTAGTAATTATGACTTATGAATTATGTATTCATACTAATATTTGTATTTATCCATATAAAATATCAATAAATACAATTCAAATACAAAGTCAGTACTTAAAAATAATTTAATCATTATTTAAAGTTAATTAATTATTTAGATTAGTGAACCCTAACCCTAAAATATAAATAAGAATGGAAATATAAGTGATCCTTAAAACTAAGACAATTCATATTTTTTATGAATTACTATTATTATTAATCATAATGAAAATAATACATTTTAAAAATTAAAAAAGAAAAAGGAAAGGACAGAAAGTGGGGAAGAAAAAGAAAATGTTTTTGAAATGACGCCTTAAGTTTGTAGTAAAAAGTAAAAGATGATGAAAGGAAATGATGATGGTGAAAATAATATTAGTTAAATTTAGTGACTAAAAGTGTTTATTAAAACTTTAGAAAAAATAAAAGAGAAAGGAAAATGAAATGATAAATTGTCTAAAATATAAATGCCAGGGGGCTGCAGAATGGTTTACTTATTTTTATTTATATTTTTTTTATTTCAGTTTGTGTGTTGGGGAAGGGCTGGGTTATGAGGACTTTTGTTGTTTTATGTTTTTGTGTCTTATTTTTATGTTTTCTTATTGTATTTTATTAAATGTCTTAATAAACAATAAGCAATAAAACAAAATATAAAATAGCTACAACTAAAAGTCAAAACACGGAGCTACTGAGCAATGATGAAAACAACTGCATAGGACACATAATATCTGCACTACTGTCATAGAGATTGAGACATGAAACCAGTCTAACTAAACCAAGGACTGAAGGAGTGAACCAGTCACTGAACCAGGACGTAAAACAGGACTAATAAATACAGGACTAAAAACAAAAAACTAAACCAGGTCTAAACCAAAACTGAACCAGGACTGAGTGTCAGGATGGGCTCGGAGGTGCGCCCACGTAGATCATCGGGTGACCACAGGGGAAAGGACCAGTGCCCCATAGGACTAAGTGCAGCCGTCACCTGATTGTGCTTTGCAGACAACCTGCTCAGCGAACTGGGGCTCTCTCTCTCACTCTCAAGTCCAAGATTAGTCCTGGTTTAGACCCAGTTTAGTCCTGGTTTAGTCTTGATTCAGTTCTGGTTCAGTCCTGGTTTAGTCCTGGTTTAGTCCTGGTTTAGACCTGGTTTAGACCTGATTTAGTCCTGGTTTAGACCTGGTTTAGACCTGGTTTAGTCCTCTTTTATTCCTGTTTTAGTCCTGGTTTTGGACTTGGTTTAGACCCAGTTTAGTCCTGGTTTAGATCTGGTTTAGTCCAGGTTTAGTCTTGATTCAGTTCTGGTTCAGTCCTGGTTTAGTCCTGGTTTAGACCTGGTTTAGTCCTCTTTTATTCCTGGTTTAGTCCTGGTTTGGACTTGGTTTAGACCTGGTTTAGTCCTCTTTTATTCCTGTTTAGTCCTGGTTTAGTCCTGGTTTAGACCTGGTTTAGTCCTCTTTTAATTCCTCTTTTAGTCCTGTTTAGTCCTGGTTTAGACCTGGTTTTAGTCCTCTTTAATTCCTGTTTAGTCCTGTTTTAGTCCTGGTTTAGTTTTAGTCCTCTTTTATTCCTGTTTTAGTCCTGGTTTGGACTTGGTTTAGACCTGGTTTAGTCCTCTTTTATTCCTGGTTCAGTCCTGGTTTAGTCCTGGTTTAGACCTGGTTTAGTCCTCTTTAATTCCTGTTTTAGTCCTGTTTTAGTCCTGGTTTAGTCCTCGTATAGTCTTGGTTCAGTCTTGGTTCAGTCCTGGTTCATGTGTTGTAGTCTCTGCTTTATGTTCTGTAGGTGATTATAAACAGTGTTAATGTGATGATTCTGCATCATTTTGAGTAAAAAAAAACAAACAAAAAAAAACCCCCATCAAATATAATAGATTTTTACTGGCTGAAGCCTTTATGTTTGTACTGAAAGAGAGTTTATTTTTTTTTATTATATAAAAAAAACAAAAAAAAACTAACAATCTATATGACACCTGTGTGTATTTCGGCAGGTCAAGTTGAGTATGTGGCTTTTGGAGGTGAATTATTGCCAAGAAATAGTCCAATTAATCCCATTTTAAGAAGAGTTTTCACATTTGTGCTTGTCTGTGGCTCATGGCTCCTCCTTCTATAAACGACAATAACACTGGAGAGGGAAACTGTTTTGAGTCAGAATTAAAGAAAATGCAGCAGGAGATCATTAGACCTACATGTTTGTCAAAACTGATGATTCAAATTTCAGAAAAAGTTGAAAATGATGCCCATTTTCTGTTGGAGGATCTGCCACCTGCTGGTCTCCACAGAGATATTATTGCTTTGCTTGAAATGTCGCACAGTAGGGCATTAAACTTGGCATTAATCACCTTGAACCTGAACGCCTGAGAGGTCACAGGAGCTTTATACTGGTCAAACTACATTTTTCATCTTTGCGCTGTATCTCCTACTGTATCCCAACTCTTTATAGCATAGACATAGAGCTATTTTACTATATTTACTTTTACATGTCCAAAAAAAATCTGTACACTTGTATATTTATGTATTCATGATCTATTTGGTTCACTGATTATTAAAATAAATATTGTTATACTGTAATGTGTGAGCTGCTGTGTCCAAGTCCCTGTGGATCTAGTCTAAGTGGTTTTATTGCTCAAAAACACATTGTAAAAACAGACATTTAGTCTAATGCCATACTGTGGAACTTTCCTGGCAAGTCATCTACAAGTTAAGCCATTTCTACACTAAGTTGTCATATTATAATATTTGATTTCCAAGTCTGTGCCAAAGTGAAAGTTTGTGCGTAAAGGCTCCTCTGTAGGACCACGTTACATGTAGAACTATTTGGGTTCAGAGACGAAAGATGTGAAAAAAATCTTGTTTCACTTGTGTTAGACCAAAAGAAAAAGAACCAGGAGCAAGATGAAGGACTAAACCAAACCTTGGAATAAATCTGGACATAGTTATTACTAGTGACAAGAACAACACGCAGCAAAAGCAAAGGACTACAGCGTCCACAACATGTCCCAAATAAACCTGTGTAGCTCACGATTTATACACTTCTTATTCACAACGGAGCTGACATAGAAAGAGAAACGTGTTCAAAATACATAATGAATTAAATAAATTGCCTAAATAAAATAAAATAAAAAAACTAGGCCTACGTAGATAATTTAAAAAGAATGAAAAACAAAACAGGATCAGAAGAGAAATTAAACTACTCACTTGAGGCGACGCCATTTAGATGTAGTCCTACTCCAAGGAGAGAGACCAAAACCAAAATATTTAGGAGGAACATTGCAGAAGAAGTTTCCAGAGAAAAGCGGGAGAAGAGTAAAGTGGAGAGACGCGACAGACGCATTTATTACGGAACAGGGAGGACATATCTGCGGGAATTTCTGGTGAGAAGGTCAAGTGATCATTTTGGAACCAATCAGAATTCAGATTGAGCATAAACGTCACGTGTAACCAGGTAAAAAGTGCCTCTCACAGGTTGTGAGCTAAACAAGGCAAAAACGAAAGTAAAAGATACTGAGGTAAAACTAGAATGTCGACTGTTTTAAGTGATTAACTACCAGAGATGTAACATAACTCCACAAGTAACACATCAAAAACATAAAGTTACCCTTACACAGTGCTTTTATAAGTGTTTATTTCCACTTTACAACCATTTTATAGCTTAAATATAGTTGAAGAGACGCCACCTATTGGTTTCATGCTAGTATGACCAGGACTATTTAGCCCTAGGACTAACATGTATAAACTGCATAAACCTGACTATACAAACACTAATTAATCCAGTTAGTCTAAAGATATAACTTTAATAACTACAATAATACCCTTAAGTAGACTATATCAGCAAAAATATAGACTTGATAGCCGATTGAAAAGCTGCAGTAGTGAAATTGTAGCACTATTAGACTCCATGTTACATACAACAGACAAAGGATCAGGTTTAATCTGATCAAAACCCTGAGTTTATGATGATGCTGAACTTTCACTGACTCTCGATTCAGTCTAAAATGATTTTTAAAGAAGCGTGTGTAGTCAGCGTTATATCCAGTGTTATTAAGCGTCCTGAAGCTCTTTTACTTTGTAGCATCACAACAAAAAACACATGAGTCAAATTACATCTTCTGTTTCTCTTAATCCATCAGATTTACAGTGGATTTTTTCATGTAAGCATTTTGAAGTCACATTCCATCATTGCATCTATGTCCATGGATTTTTTAAAAACTCGTAATTAGTTTAAAACATGTTACCTTTCCTCATAAGAGTGCTCTGTCCATATTTCAAGTATTTCTTCAGATAGTCAACACACTCATGGGTGATGTAATTGTAATTGTGATAGGTGTGATAGTTGTCATATGGTGCACTGCCTCCATCCTCTCCCACTTGTGTTTGCAGGGAACAGCATCTGGTCTTTCACATCGTATTTTGACATTTTGTATTGATGGACATATAACTATTATAGTGACTATTTTTCCACAACAACTAACAAACAAAAGCGGTGAGCAAACTTTGAACTAAACATAACTCATTTAATCACCTTTGGGCACCATGGGGCTGCTCACCCACTGCACCAGACTACAGAGTGGCAGAGGAGCTCACTTTCCAACAGGCTCCTACAGTTCGAGTCAAACAGTGAGAGATACAGGACTACATTGATACCATACTCCATACAATTGTTCAACAACTCACCCTTATGTAACAGATAACTCTATGACCTGTCTGCCATCACATAATTTTTGCACTGTCTTCCTTATGACCTCTTGTATATAGCTGATTTGTTTTTATTACTTATTTTAACATTTTTATTTTGACTTGTATTTAATAATGCGTTATTTGACGCCTGTCTCTTGCTGTCTTTTTTGCTGTCGATTTAGAATTTCTTATTACAATTTTTTTGTTTTTTACTCTTTGTTAATATAATATAAATTGTGATGTGTGAGCTACTGTGTCCAAATTTTTTCCTTTGTGGATCATTAAATTTTGTCTAAGTCAAATATAGCAAAAATGCCTAAAATTTGCAAATTAACCAAAACTAAATGAGTAAATTAATGGACATTAAAAAAATAAACAATAATTTTTAGTGTTGTTCAGTAGTTCACCAGCAGAGGCGCACTTTCAGGAGCAGAAGGATTTTGTGGCTCCAATAAGTTACGCCCTCCTTTTCTCAGGACCAATCAGAGCAGACGTAGCTCTGACGTACGCGGTCACCTGTTAGGCTGATTACGTGTAGCTCAGCAGCAGCAACAGCAGCTAGCAGCTTGTCACAGCGATCACTTCACTTTAATAATACAACGATCAGGTGGATTGTTATAACCTGAAAACAGAACGGACGAATCTTTATCTGCGGGTAAAATGGTAAGACTAAAGCGGTTCTACTGATCGAGGAGCATAAAGCTAATGTTACCCGGTGTGATGGTAACGTTATCGGTCATTGTTGTGGCCAGAGGGGCTAAATGGCTAGTGAAGCATATAGTGACTTTTCGGCATTTATTACCAGCTGATACATTTTGTACGATGAGTGCAATGTACATATCATCTGTGTATTTTGGTTTATTATAATCTTCAGTTTCATAATCTATCTAGCAGTCAGCCATAGAATTAAATGCCTTCACTTTCAGATGTTCAAGTCCTGAGTTACGTATGCATTCACTTTTGGAAAATCCCCCCCTGTAAAATAACCAGACAGTCACATACTTAGGTCAAAAATGCATGAGTACAAATAAACACTGAGCAAGTAAAGTACACCATTTTATGTTTGTTTAATGTGATTATAGCTGATTTCAACATAATTGACAAAAAACAAAACAAAAAAACAAGTCAAAGCACTTTTGCATTGGTGAGTGATGTTACCATGTCCATAAAAATAGATTTAGAGGAGATGTTTGACAAACTCATTCTCTTGTGTGTCATGCTTTTAATTTTGAATTTGTAATGTAATTGCTATCTTCTTGCAGTTTTAACAAGATGGGTGCTTCACGACTGTTTGAAGATAGCACGATTGAAGATACATTTTAGAAATCCTCACTTCTGCCTTGGTTCTTGGATGGAGGAGCAGTGAATGTCCATGAATCCTGAGGAAGAAACGAACTCGGCAAAAATGCACACAGCATTTACATTACAGACACTAAAACAGCGCGGAGATGTTTGCTAACTAAAGAAGAAGATTGCAGAAGAGCGGCCACAGCCCCTCGGA